GAATTATTTCTCAATTATAAAATCATATGTAGCCTAATAGTCTTCTATAGCCACCCAAAACTGTACAATCAAAAGCTATACAAAATGATAAATCACTTGGCAAATGGCTCACCTGCTCACTCAACATTCAATGAGAAATAATGTTAAAATAAAATTTAAATATACAGTGAATAAGTGAGGTGCAAGTTCATCGATGACTAACATGAGTAACAAAAATAATAATAAATAGAAGCAACAGTGGTCAGCAATAAATAAAACTGCTGTTGACAAGTTCTCTAAGTAATCATATTAAACGATATCATATATGCGTTTACTTCATTTTCCTGATCATTCTTACCATCAGCCTTCTTTATTTAAGATGAGTCCCATTATATCTAAATAAATTATTTTTATATACTTCATTTTATTGGGTTGCCAACCGATCTATCTGCCATAAAAATCTTTAATAAAATTTGATCATATGTTCTAGTAAATATGCAATGAAGCTGGAAGTAGCGGATAAATATGCACATGCTGTGCTCTGTTAATCGAATTAAATGTCAAATATGTAAAAATCTAAATGCAAATACATAAAAAACGGATTTGCTTATAGTCCCATAAAAGCTTGCTCCTTATGTTAGCAATTGTATCTCACATGAGCTGTTGGATCAGTCTTATGACAAATCTCTTCCCTAGGCTTGCCCCAAGCTCACATCCTTGCATAAACAGTCTAGCGAGAACAAATTCTTTTATATTGAACTCAAATTAATACAAACATACTATAAATTGAGATCACCTAAGTTCTAGCTTCCTATCCTTCCTCCCACCTTCCTATATAAACCCTACAGCTAACACCCCAATTAATACCGATTTGGCAAAGCTGTAGTTCACAAAAAATAAGGGTTTAATGCAATATAATAAAAGCATTTATGTTTAATAACATATATGCTAATTTTATTACCTTAACTCCACCAAATTATAAACTTCTATATATCAATTCGACCAAAATAAAATGTAGATTTTTATTAAGATAATTTGGATGATATTACAGGGGAAGCAGAAAAAAATCAGATAAAACTTTAGACCAATTTAATTCAACAGTTTGAACATTTTGGGTATTACATCTGTCCCTTGTTATTTAACAAGAGTCAGACCCCGCCTAGAAATGCTTTCTCAATGTAAATTGCAAAAGGCTCAACATCGTCAAAATTTATGAAGCCAATATTGAATTCGTATTAACGAAAGTTGAACCTAAGCGATCAAATGGCTCTTTATGGGTATATGATCTCCCTCCTATTGTTAATGATGTTGTGAAGTGTATGCCCTTCTTCACCATGTTTGAGATTGTGCCATGATGGTGGTTCTCTATCCTTTCTCTAGGAATAATTATCTGCTTTTACAACTTGAAGTAGATAGTCACCAATACATGAGGGATATTGTAAGCTTATTACATCTTTTTGCCATTTTAGTACTCACTTCTAATGCGGGATATTGTAAGCCCTATACATGGCGGATGTCATTGCCTAGGTGGCGATCACTCATGCCCTTCAAAAAGGTAATTTTTGTTATTCTCTCCTGTTGGTGTGAGACATAGATGTAAAAATCGCTGCTTATGCGAAAAAAAAAGTATAAAGCTAGCCTCACATTTGAGGAATCAAATCAATGCAAAATATGTTGTCAATGTAGTAAAAAAATGAAATTGACGTTAGGGAGATTGATAATGCGACCCTACATCATGGCTTTAGGTGTCATAAAGAATGAAGAAGATATTAATAATAATTTTTATTGGGTTCAACATGAATAACAATGCCTTAAATTGGTCTCGACTAGAGCAATAACATCTCCTAGGGTTAACTTTTCCAAGCAGTGTAGAATCAAATAGAAACATCTCCAAATGCGGCAATCAGCAATCGAGGCATTGGACTGGTTGGTTTTGGTGTTGGATGTGAAAGGTGGAGATGGCATCTCCATTTTTTCATGATTGGAGTAAAGATTTTATCTTGATTAACGTGTCAAAATAGTTATCTAACTATTATATAAGGTCATTTTAGTCCCAGAGTCTAAAAGTGTCAAATTAATCCTCATACTCTTTTAATATGAGTTGAAATAGTCCCCGGTGAGGATTATTTTAGCCCCCATTAAAGATTCTAGGCTTTAAATTTCCACTTTTATAAACTCTGAGACTAAATTGACCCTCTGGCCTCTGCAAAGAGTTAAGGGACTATTTTAAAACTTCTACCCTTTTTTATTTAAGGGCTTAAAGTAATATTTTATTTAATAATTACAAAATCTACATAATATATTATAATTCTCAACTTCTTGCATTGCAAATCTCCAATCAACCAACAGAGCTTGTAATAGAGCATAATTATTCAACCCGCTATCCCCCAGCATTGACAAGTATCGATGCAGTAGTTTAATACCAGTTAGAGCAAATCCATAAGCAAACACAAGACTATTGAATCCATAATATATAAACTATCTACCTAAGCTCCTCGCTTCTTTCACAGGCCTATGTGCTTACCATCTAAAAACAACTATTTAGCTAATTGAAATTTTAGTACTACCAACATAAAAGGGTTTCAATAATTATATCGACAGAAAAAACAAAATATAAAAAATGCATCTCATTTCCATACAAGCACAACCTCCATATTCAATGACGAGTGCTTAAAAGTTCAAAAACATAAGCCATACAAGTTGTCCAGGTAAATTTATTGTTTTTCTTATGCTTTCTCATGAAAATATCATACGCATTCAGACAAAGATTATAAAAAAGTGGCCTAATATGTTGTATTTAGAGTATATAAATCTAAAAAGGAAATTATTCCAACTTAAGTATATTGAGCAATTGTTCCAAGATTTAGTGCACAGCAAAGATCCCCTCTGCGAGCGAAGTTAATCAAAGCACCTAGAACAACTTTGATCACTCAAAGCACCTAGCAGAGTAGAAGGCATTTTAGAGTACAAAAGCATCCGCTATAAATTGCATCATCATCAGTCTTAGATCAACTATTTATGAGTCTTATGAATCCTCCTTTACTATTCATGCATGTTGGTTTTCTTTGGGGTGTTAAACGTTTTTCTTCGAAAATCCCTTTAAACTACTTATATCCATGTAAGTTAAAATTTACTCATTTATGATCCTTACATACTAATTTTAATTTTAATTTTACCACTTTTAAGTTACATTTCAATAATCACATCTTCAAAAATATCACTCTAATCATTCCTCTAATATAACAATTCTTTCAATTACCCTTCAATGTTTTGTCACGTGCTCATTTTAACATTATTATTGCAACCACACTATACTATTTTTTTACTATGAAATAATTGAGTTCATGGTTTAATAAAATTCACCCTTAAGAATCCAAACAATGCCCTTATCGCATCATGAGACATTTATCCATTTTAATTATAACTCTATCCCTAGAAGTTGTATAATCATTTACATCTTCATTCTTCTGCAAATTGTAGAGCAACCAAAGACTCGCAATTGAATCAAATAGCTCGATTTCTCTATAATAATGCTATTATTCTTTAATTTTTTTTTCAATGATTCCTTCAAGTTTATTTCTTTATTTTTTTCTAGTTTTCGCTCTGTTTCCCACTATGCTGTTGAGCAAGATTCTACTTTTTCTATTTCAATATGCTCTAGATTAAAGAATCCAATTTTTGCCCATCAAGCTATGCTGGGTGTTGACATACTAGGCAAAAAATAAAATAAAATAAAATAAAAACCGTTGACTTTATGACCCATATTTTGCTTTTCTTTTTTAATGAAAATTACATGAGATGATAGATGTATACTATGCATAGTTTTTGGTATTGATTCTATTCATGTTAGTTTTGGCATACCATTCATTACCAATATTTTGATCCGAACACCTAAATAAAAAATTAGGAAAATTTACATAAACACACACAATTCTTATGTGCTTACAACTCTAACACCTAAACTACAGTTTTTACATATATGCTACCTTACCTATGCATGAAAAGGAGTATTAAACTATATGAAATATTTGGGTGGTAGAAATGTAAAAAAACCAAGTTTAGGTATAAGATATATAAATACATAGGAATTGGGTGGTATGTACGTAAATGCCCCTAAAATTATTATGAAAAATTCAATTCTCACTGAAAAGACAAATGAAAGCTTTAAATGTCAACAAACAATTTGATTTTTGAACACTTATCTGTGGCAATGGATAATATCTATATATAGCTTAGGTTTTTTATGGCAAAAAAAAATGTTCAAATGTTAGCACTTCACTCTGAAGTTGACATCCAGATGGTATAATGAATGCCAACACAAGTTTCAGTAGTATTCAGCCTCATCATATGTAAATACAGAACAAAACATGAACATCCTTCACAAAGAGAGCTTTGGGACCCAAAAAAAAACTAAATAATTATCCCATGAAACAAAGAAAACAGTAAATCATGAATTACAACCATAAAAACAGAGTACAGAAATCCAGTATGAAACTAAGTATTAACGGCCCGTTTGGCATAACAAGTTTTTTTTTTTTTATGAAACTAAGTATTAACGGCCCGTTTGGCATAACAATTTTTTTTTTTATTTTTTTTATTTATAAATATGTTCATCAGCATAATTTACATATGTTTTTTATTTTTAAAATAAATCATCATGTTTTTAAAAATACTCAAAACACCTAAAAAAAATTTGAGCATTTTTAAAAATAGCTACCACAATCAAACATGCTTTAATTCAAATAAAAAAAAACAAACAAAATAAAATAAACAATAGAAAACAGAAAACAAAACTGATCCCAAATAGGGGCCTAAACAAATATCTTTTTAAAAATTAAAGAAGAAAACAAAAACAAAATACAAAATTGATTCCATACAGGTCCAAATCCTCTATCACTAAGCCTTTGCACACTCAGCAGTATATATTATAACCAAGAAAGTTTTACTCAAAGAAAAGAACGAACTTTTTTAAGAGAGCTAAACAAAGTAATTTCAATGCAAAATGCATAATGATCAGTGGATCCATCTGCATAAGTTAGCTACCTCTGTGAAGCAATAAAATAGATAAGAAGATTCCATAAAAAACAGTTGATTACTCATTGTCAAATACAAAATTTCAACTTTTTTCATTAATGCTTCGAAAATTAAGCAAAAAAAACAAAAATGAAATCTCAATATAACCTACCGGTGCACTCAATAGTACCGCAGTAGCAAACCTTTTGCTTAATATTCCCATTAGAATCATGAACTTGGTCAATAGTGTAGTTGTAATGATATGTCAGCTCCTGGAGAGGCGGTATATCTTCGGAAGCAAATAACATAATGTGTGGCATACTCTTATTTCCATGATCAAAGAGAAGATTTTGGGCATAAAGATTAGGCATGCAGCTATGGTTGATGAATCTAGCAACATTTCCAAACATGGATGCATCAACAGTGTAGTTCATTTCATTAACTACTGAAGAGCCTTTCTTCTGTAACTCAGGTATAGATGTTGGAAGTCCCTCCCATAGAGCTGCATCATGGTAATTATTTCCAATAGCAAAAAGATACTCGTCGTTCATTCTCTTTTGAGCTTCTTCGTCCTGTATAAGCTCGCCGACATATTCGCAAACGAAGCTACCGGATGGAATGAGAGATAATGATCTCAGTCCCCAACCCATAGTTCCCGTTTTAAAGACTTCCAAAGGAAATTTTATGCCATGTTGACTCACTCTGTTGTGGCACGAAGGAGGGCATTTGCACGAAGGCCCACACTCATAAACAAGAGGTTTGGCTTGCACAATCGCACCGCGGCCATTGAAAGGCAGTTCTCCGCCATTTTTTACTGCACAAGCACATTTGATCGAATCGGTGCAGATGCCAACACAGTCGCAACCCTTGGGATGAATTGGGATATGGTTTGATGGATATATCATCTCCTTCGTATATGTAAAAGGCTGAGGACACTCTTCATCAATCGTATTAACAGCACAAATGGGCACCTTCTCCTTTCCGTTGGAGATATCTCCAGTGCAAATATCTGAAAATGAAATAGATGTTCTCAGCTTAACATTTTTAATTTTGAGTTCAGGCTGTTCCTGCTGCCTCCTCAATTGAAACATATAGATATCAAAGCCATCACCATTTTTTTCAATCCAGTATTTCTCGGCCAGATACAAACCACCGTAGATATAACGTGTAGCTTTTTTGCCCTTTAAACTTCGAGAATTATTAATTTGAAAGTCCTCAAATCCCCAAATAACACGAATAGGATTTTGAGCATTTATGCTGTTTCTTAGTGCTAAATTACCATATTCTAACTTCTGATTCTTGTTGGATGGCCCTGAACCGGAGTAAATTAGCACTTCAGAAATGTGACCGTTGTCTGAGTATCTACTAGAGCCAGATGAAATAATACTACGAGCTAGTAGTCTCCCATCATGTTTAAAAAAATCGATGCCTGCCTGGAGTTGGCGATGAAGTCCGAGCACACAAAGTTCAACCCTTAAATTGAACTCATCTCCAATTTTGACACCAGGCACATTTCCTATGGATAATGAATCAAATTCGAACTCCATACTGTTCTGTTTCAAAAGTTTCAAAGCCATCAAATCTAGGCGGTTCCTCCGAAACTCAAACTTTGATTTCAAGTCTATTTTTGTTTCTTGTGACAACTTATTATAAAATGAATGGAACATGTTGAGTACCAGCTTGACCTTTTTCCTTGGCAATTCCTCCTGATCACTTAAATCACACGCAGTCTTATCCAGATGCCTCACATTACTTACTTTACCTTCGTTTTTTTCAAGATTGGACTCAGGTTTAATTATATCATCATTTATACTCCTTTTGCTCTTCCTCTTTATTACAGATTCTTCAGCATCCAGTCTTCTAGTCTGAATTTCATTCCCAGCATTATCAGGTGATCCCTTCTTTCCACAACCGGAAGTCCACTCAGCTGAGGCCCTAGATCTAAAAGAGATCCTCCTCCTTGTTGAAGATTTTGTAGGAAGCACTTGCTCCTCTAGTGCAGGACTATGAACAGTCTCCATCAATTCAATCTGCCCATTAATTTCGCGACACTTTTTCCCACGAATACCGACATTGGCTGAGATGTCTAATTTCAATGGTTCAAGGGCAAAAGGAGCAGGGGTTTTGCACGCTTCATTCAAGATCTGAGTGCCATTAGCCTTAATCAAAGCTTGTAATGCTTCACCTTTTGAATCCGATCTCGTCTGAGGTTTCCTCGGGTAGTAACTAAGCATACAATCATCAACCTTATTATCATTCCCCAAATCCCCGCCCGAAACAACCGAACTTGTCGCTCTGGAAGCCGATCTTAACGATCGTCTTAATATAGTTTGATTGACAATCATAGCTTCCTCGCCGACAACTGCCTTTGCCGCCTTCACAGCCTTAACGGTTGAAGGCGCCGGGGTGATTTTCTCAGAAAACATAATTGATGAATCCACCCGGGTGGAATCCCGCTCCCGCTTCTGAGATCCCACCATGACTAGAAACCTTATTACAACAGAACATTGACAATTTTATATTGTCCCGGGCAAGCTTCTGCAAGGAATCTCATGGCACAAAAAAAAAATGAATAAATAAAAAACTGAGGAGACGGAGAAGAGAATCTACATAGGAGAAACTAACACATTAGGGCTTTCATAAAATTTCCGGGAAAGCATAAGGAAGACCCAACAGTTGAAAACTGAAATGCATGGAAGGTGAGAACCGAGACCTGATATCTAGCTGTAAACCGGCGGCCGGCGAATCCTGTTCGCCGGCGACGTACGAAGAGGCGGGAACGGGGGCGTCGCTTCTAGCCGGCGCTGGTGGGAAATTTTTACGTGAAGCGGAGCATTGATCCAATTGGCTGGATGAGAAGGATATGTACGTGTAGCGGGGATTTACATACGTAGCGCTCCAAAATATTTAGGGGCACTTATATAAATACCACTAAATTAAAATGTACTTTTAAATATGTAATAATTAAAATATAGCTGTACATTGATAATATTGAAATGTTTCGTATCACATCAATAATATCATTTCTACAATATGTAATAATTAAAATATAGCTGTACATTGATAGTATTGAAATGTTTCGTATCACATCAATAATATCATTTCTACTTGATATGCTACCAACAAATTTTTATCATCCGACACGAATCTCAGTGTAATTTTTTGAACAAGAAACATTCAAACTTTGATTAAGAGTCATTCGGAGCTCCGATTTCAGCAAACTTATAGTCAAACCTGATAAGACGAATCCAACGAGCCCAAGATTGCTCAATTCCGACATCGTTAAGGCACTCAAATGTCCATTAAACGTCATCTGATCAAAGGAAGCTCTCCGGACCGTCCGATCAAAATAGTTCATATTCCTGCATTAATTGCACTTAAAACACTATAAATAGAGCCTCACCCCTCATATGAAAAGGGGAGAGAAGGGGAGAGGGCTTAAGAGAGAACTTGAGGCTTTGAAAATGAGCTTAAGTCCAAGATCATCATCGATCGCCCTTGACCACCACTGACCGTCGACAACCATCGCCGACCTTCGTCGATCACCGCCGACCGTCATCGATTGTCGTCAACCGTGGTCGATCACCACCGCCGACCTCCGTCAGCCACCGCTGACTAGACATCTTCAGTTCGTCAGTCGACGTTGTAACCTGGAAAGCTAATAATCCTTTCCCGTCTGTGGGACAAGTGGCATCTGTAATCATCATCTTATAATGAATTTTTACTACTGGGTCAGGCTCCGTGGTTTTTCCTCTTTACGGGTTTTCCACGTAAAAACTCTTTGTGTTATCACAGTCAGATTCATTTTCATCTGAGTGTGTGTTGAATCCTCGTGCAACGCTAAGACGATAATTCATTATTCTACCGCCGTGAATTTTCTAGCACACATCAGTTTGGCGCCGTCTGTGGGAAAGTTTCAATCTCACAACTAAAGTACTTACATGATCTGCTACATGGCCACCAGATACAATGTTCGTGATAATGGAGCTTCCCGCTCCAACACCCATCGTTTCAGGGAGCACTCACGAAGCCAAGGGCGGTATGCTTCTTCGTCTTCCCACCCTGGAAGATGTTATATTGTCAATGAAGGTGTTTCAGGTCCTTCAATAGAAGATCGAATGCGTAAAAGAAGATCGAATGCGTAGAATGGAGGAGTCTCAACTAGAGATTCTACAGCTCCTACGCGGGGCTCAACAGTCGTTGCCTACAGCATTGGATGAAATTTGTTTATCATTAACTTCGCAACGTACGAGAAACATACCGCTCGGAGGAACTCATGTCGGCGCGGCTCCTCAGGAAGGAACACATCCCCTGTTAGGTCGCCCACCTATCCCCACACCTTCCCGCCATTCCAGATAATGTCATTCGCAATGAACTACGACGTCTCGTCAGGGAAGAGTTCCCATTAGAGAAAAATGATTGCTTCTACGCTCACCATAACATCCATGAATCTTCTCCCTTAGCGAATGCGGTCCTCCAACACCCCATCCCAACAGGCTTTAAGCTTCCGAGCATCGATACATATGAAGGGACAACCGACCCTTACGAGCATATTGATCATTAGCGAATTATCATGCACATTCAACGTGCTTCTGATGCGCTTTTGTGTCAAGTGTTTACAACTACTCTTAAAGGACAAACTCAAACTTGGTTCTACTCTCTACCGGAAGGCACTATAAACACCTTTAACGAGCTTGCCAAACTTTTCGCAGAGCAGTTCATCGCAAATTGAAGGATCATCAACAATTCATCCCATCTATCGGGAATTCGTCAAAATGAAGGAGAGTCACCCAAAGACTATTTCCGCAGGTTTTCTACTAAAGCCCGTCAAATTTCAGGAGTAGATCCAGAGTTACTTAGGGGAGTTTTCCTTGGGTGGCTTTGCCCAGGACCCTTCTACTCATCACTGATGCGGAAGACAGTTCATTCTTATGCTGACCTTGTCCACCGTGTTGAGACCTAAATCACTGCAAATGAGGTCATCAATGCACATAAGGAACAATTTGTGAAATTTGGGGGAAAGCGCAAAGGTAACACTGGAGATAATAATCAATCTTCGCAACGGAGAAAGTTTGATCAACAGAGGAATCACGACATCCTTCCTGAACCTGCAGGCCAATGAACTGAATATCGACCCAAGAAAGAGTATACACCACTCAACACATCACGTGCTAACATCTTAATGGGCTAGCAAAGATGAGCAAGCCGTTAAGTGGCCTCAAGCCCTAAAACCTAACTCAAGTAATCAAGAACAATACTATCATTTTCCTCGAAGTCGTAGCCACTCCACTGAAGCTTGTTAGTAGCTCAAAGAAGAGATTGAAATGTCAATTAAACAGGGATATATTGGTCGATTTGTACAAAACAAAACAATTGGTATCGATAACACTCCTACTGGGGGGCAACATACATCAAGACAGCAACATGGGGGTCACCTAGTTGTAGGAGAAATTCAAATAATTGTTGGAGGCCCATCGATGATTGATCAAGTCCTTGTCACTGTACCTGGCGAACCAATGCAGAAGAAATTCCGCCTTGAGCCTATAACTTTTGATGAATCCGATTTGGAAGGAGTTCGAGTCCCCCACCAAGATCCTTTAGTCATTAGCGCAGGAATTGGCGAGCCATTCTATAACGTAAAGAGGATCCT